TGATTTGGAGAAAAGCGTCGCTAAATGTATGTAAGTATAGATAGAGAGCCCGCGGTCATATTTCCGAAATGGACAAAAGAAAGAGACTCCATGAATGTTCAGGAAGGTATTAGCGTGCTAAACCGTGTTGAACGAAGAGAGTCTGGAATGGTGGGGAGGTGTCAGACTGAGTGTATGTCCTGGGTTTGTTCTGCCCTATGGGGTCATCATGACAGCGAGTCACCGAGCCGGCCGCCGGTAATACCGGGTCAATTTGAACCCCGGTGGCCGGCTTAGGCTATAAACAACTCTCGGAGTTCTAGTGTTAGAGGAAATGGGTTGAATGTTACCACATAGTAACGTCAAGATAATTTAGCTATAGCGTCACTAAGATTTAAACCAACTCCAATTTAAGTGTGTGTTCATCAACAAAGCCCAGCCATTCATCTACGTTGTTCTGATGTTGACTTCGATAGATGAGTATGTCAGTGAGAGAATTAACTCGATTTAGAGACTAGTTTCCAGTCCATTGATAACGATCAGGATCTCAGGATGATGCAGAGAAGAGATACAGCTGCCCAGAAACAATATGTGCTAACCCTGATCAAACAGGTAATGATTGAAGCTCAAGGTACAGCAACTATTTAGCGTCTCAAGATAGTACAGTAAAAGTAACGTGTGTGATCAGTAAAGTGTTCTGATGGCTACTTGATAGATAGTAAATCATGAGCAGAGATTCAATCTATTTTTAGTGTATTTTGAGTTGCAGGAAGCTTAAATGAATTAAGTCAAGTCATTTTATTTACGCATAGTGAAACAGTGTTGCGGTCAGATAATTCGTCAAAAATCACTCCTAAATTCTAACCCTATCCATCTATTCCTTGACTCGATGAGTGAAACTCACAGGGGTAAGGATAGTGGATAGGAGAAGAAAAAAAAAAAAAAGATTTAGGGAAGCAGACTGCGGTTAACTTTATAAAAAATCAAGAGATCCGACTGCAATTTCACTAATCTGACGCGGTTATGAGCACGCAGCGTACGTCATTGGTGGGCGGTCTGCCTGCTGTGGGAGAAATTATGGAAACTACACGTTTTCTATACCCAAAACCAGACTACACATGGATGTTTACATAAGAACGACGCGGACTCATCTAGAAGACTCTGCCCGTGGCTCTGATGGCTGTTGCTTTTTTCTGTGAAGCAACAGAGAAACATTTCTTCATGACCAAAATTGGAATTGAAATAAAAAGGAAAGTGGAAATTATGCGCGTCACCTCCTCTCCCTCCGGTCCACAGTAATACCAATGATCCCAATACTTATGATGAGAAAAATATACTTCCCCGCTAGCTGGGATGTATTTATTATAAACGTTAGTCCTTAACATCTATCACTGTGTATATCACCATTCAAACATCTTTTAAAAGTTGAAACCCCACACAGCTCAGTGAAATGTTGACTTTATTTGATCATTTCAGTAAAAACTAACGTTCTTATTTCTCTTTTTGATTATAATACTGATGAATGTTCAAAACAAAGCACTTTGGCAACTTACCACATGTTTTAAAATGCTTAATAAGCACCGTAACTTTCATGATATAATTTCTCCGTCATAATCGTTTGTTTCCGTGAACGGCCGACTGTTGTGTGACGCAAATGCTGCGACTGCAAGGCATTGTGGGGCAGCATTTTCTCCTCTCCTTTCGGTTAGGGAGGTCCAGTGGTTCCTAAGCTAAAGGAGGTTATAAAGGAAGTTTGAAACCTCCTTTCCTTTCATTTGGAGAATTGGAACGGCACTTAACATGGCTGCCACTGACGTACTTCCGGGTCATTTCACTTGGTTAGGAAGGTTCCTAAGCTAAATGGACTATTGGAACGCAACCTGGGTCTTTGAATAGAAGGTGTCTGAGGGCTTGAGAACTCCAGAATCTCAAATCCACAACACCATGTCCTCAGATGCTGTCTGACATGGTTAGAGGTGAAAACAAGCCAGTTCAGCATTGGTTTAGATATTATTTTACAAGAAAAAAGTCAATCACTTTTTTCTCTCATGATCACAAACGCTTCACATCGATTCGCTGGATGGTCAACCTTTATTTTCTTCTATACCTTCTACCATAATTGGAGAATTTCATGCCTTGCTCCATTATTAAGACTGTGTTGTTATTGTGTCCCTGCACAGGCTGTTACTGCCATCCATCACATTCTGTGTGCTTTTGGCTACTCTACAGGTATCAACAAAGGAAGCTGTTTTCGGATCAATCATTTTCCAGAGGATAACGACTACGATACAGACAGCTCCGAGTACATCTTACGTAAGTCATCGCAACCTCTTCATCTTCAAACACTTAAACCCTTAATCCTCTTCATCCTTTCTTCGAGTGGTGATGGAGTTATCACAAGGGCACTTAATGTATCAAGACATCTCTGGGCCTCCCCCATAAAAGTCTGATGTCATGACAGTAGTTGGAGCTATGGAGGTGATGAATGTGTTGTGTGCAGAAGAGTAATAGGTCTAAAATGTGGCTTTACTCAAATAATTGTTTTAAAACTATGGGTGGTTTAGGCTATTACAATTCAATCCATCTATCCATGTTCCTTAAGGTTCCAGGTGAGCCTTACTGTACAAATTACGTTTGGCATCTAGTTTGATGCCCTGTGTCCCAAAGCAACTGTTCCTATCTTTGCTGTTGTCTAAATTGATAAATTTCAATAAACCCTCAACCCATGACTGTTAGTGTCATGGAAATGAACGTAAGCTACTCAGGCTTTAGTCTCTGTGGAAGCATCCATCTGTTGAACCCATGGCAGTGATTTAGTTTGCCTCCACAGGGGTATTGGGATCAGAAAAAAACCGTATTAACTACATCATGTATTTTATAATGTTTTTGAAGAATACTTGGACAGTATTATGTTGAAGGACTGTGCATTTGAACTAAATGTGTAATTTTCAGAGTTGTGTATGTATTGTTTACCTCTTTTAAATATGTTAAATGCATCTGCCTCTTACAATGTATGCAAAGCTGATACAAAAAAAGTATTTACAGATTGCATTACATCCATGGTTGTTTGCTAGCAGTCTTCTTATTTGATGTATTTGCTGCTCAGAAGGTGTACCTGCATATGTTCTGATGTAACTGCCACCTGTTGATAAGTGACATAGTGTGAAAACCATTGGTAGGAATGTGCATAGTGTATATGTAAACAAATAGAGGACTGACTCCTAGGAAAACTGTCATTTTAAGTGATGTGTTTCTTCAATCTTACTCACAAGGAGGCTTCACTGTCTCTTATGAACAGGTATAGTTCGTGCATCGAGCCTTTTCCCCATTCTGAGCAACGTTCTGCTGATGTTGGGGGGCCTGTGTGTCGGGTTCGGACGCTTCTACAACAACAAGAACAACATCCTGCTCAGTGCTGGCATCCTGTTTGTGGCTGCAGGTAGGAGCAGTTGCACTACAGATACAGTATATACACACAAGCTGCTGCAACAACAAATACATTATTTGCAGTACAACAGAAAGAAAGACATCGAAGGACAAAAGCACAAAAGACATCAACTATGTAAGATGTACACTTCTGTCTTGGCAAAAAAAGAAATACGTCTGGCTTTGCCTTTTTTTACACAAACCCAAAAATAAAGTGTACATATCTTACACTCTTGAAGCAAATCTTGCCTTAACCTTGAAGCTATTGTTTTCTTTAATTGGGAGTGACACATTTTGTTTTGTTGTGAAAATCCAAAAGAGCATCTCAGAAGTAAAAAAAACTGCAGGAAAGGTGTGAATATTAAACTCACGTTCTTGTTAATGACACATTTTTTAATAAAGATTATTCTGTCACCCAACAAGGAATAAATATCACTTGTAAAGATAATGTTATCAGGTGTTGAAGGGGATAAAGTTATACTGTAGATTAGGAGGGTTGTCTAATGTGTGACTGCATCTTGATGATACCGTGCTGTCATTTTTTATCATTCACTTAACGTATGTGCCTAAACATTATACATTTTACAGCTTCTCTCTATCTTCATCTCTCCTTTTCTGCTCTCTTCAGGCCTGAGTAATATCATCGGCATCATCGTCTACATCTCCAGCAACGCCGGAGACCCGAGTGACAAGAAAGACGAGGATAAGAAAAACCACTACAACTATGGCTGGTCCTTTTACTTCGGCGCCCTCTCCTTCATCGTGGCTGAATCAGTGGGTGTCCTCGCTGTCAACATATTCATCGAGAAAAACAAAGAGACGCGCTTCAGAGCCGTACGCAACTTCATTAAAGCCACTTCCTCTTCTTCACCATACTCTCGCATTCCAAGTTACCGCTATCGACGAAGGCGCTCGCGATCCAGTTCGAGTGACCCGTCCCGCGAGCCCTCTCCAGTGGGGATGAAGATCGGGGGAGCATGCGGAGGAGAGTTAGGGATGGGTCTGCCGATGGGGGACATATCCCTGTACTCCCGAGGTAGGGACACTCTGAAGGGAGCGACCGCTGGGCCCTACAGTCCTGAGAGGGACTCTAGATTTTTACAAGTCCACAACTGCTTCCAGAAAGATCAGAAAGATGGAGGAAACAGAAGGACCACGCCGGTATGAGGTTAGGAGTGTTCATTGGAGTGTCAAACATAAGGGTTTGATGGAACACATTGTACATTGATGAGATAGGAAGACAATTCCTCCCCGGTCCGGACAGAAAACTGTTTTTTATTTTCCTTCTGGAGAACAATTCCTGTGTTTCATTTAGAGAACGAGGATATAACTGTTTTTACTCTATATTTCAGTGTCTACAAACTGGATGCAAACAATTGAAGTGTTTATTTCTAAAATGTGAAATCTGCTATGTTGAAGCAACTTACTCCTATTACAGAAAGGACAAACATTTCGTAACTGTCATTATTTAAGGATAAGGACCACCTAAATAAATTAGTGCTAAAATTGACATTTTGTTCCAATTTATTTCAATTTAATGAAAGGGTAAAACATTCACTTCAGGTTGTGGATGTGTGACCAGGCCCTCGAGTTTATACAGACTTGATGCTCAATATGATATAGATTCTGAATATTGAACTTCATGTTATTATTTTTTCTGCTAAAATAGCTGTATAGTCTTTTGGAAATTGACTTATTTCTTATATTCCAAGACAAACAGATGTTTTTCTCCAAAATTGTTTGTTCAATTTAAGTGATTATTGTGATCCTTTGACTATTATTGTATTATATTTGTTTGTAAATCAACACAACTGGTGCTAACTTAATCTGTACACCTTTGTTAGCCTTTTCAACTTCCATTTAAATAATTATACTGTATCTCAATAACCTCTCTGAAGCTTGTGCGTGAGTGTATGTGAAATGTATGTTATGGCTCTGAGACACTGCCACACTATGACAAAAATGGATTTATGTAGATATCAACTAAATGAACATGGCACACAGTAATGTCAGTACATTCCAGTATGATGTGTTATGTGTTAGTGTGAACATGAATTGTGCTGACTGTGTAGTTTCTCTCCATTCACTCAGGGACATTGTATGGAACAAATCAATCTTGCTTTCAGAGATGTAGAGATTATCACGAGACAGAACAAATGTCTTTGAGTAGTTTTGTTTTTCATACCTTAGCCTGTGTGTAAAAACAGAGGTGAGATCGCACTGTACGTGTTGCTGTAAATTAACATGACACTTGTTCCTGCAATTACTGCCTTTGTGTTCAGAGGGTTTTTCATCCATATTTAGCTAATGCAAAATCATATTTAAAGTATTTCTGTACTGTTCTGCCCCGTGTCAATAAGAAATGTTCGGTAAAAGTATAACTCCCAAGAATCTTTTTTAATGTGACTTGACACCTTATTCAGCTTGACGGGCATTGAAAAAAAAACTGCTACATGTGTTTTCAAACAAGAATATGATGAAATCACAAAATAACGAATAAGTGTCCTGTTCCAGGATACATGAGACCAAATCTGCGTGAAACATAACATGGTTTTAATGGGTTTATTTAATCCAGTAAGTTCTTTTTAAAGTTAAGTGTCCTATTAACAGATTGAGCCGTGTTTGATTGATACTGGGGTTTTGTATTTCCAACTAAGCAATATGATTTTCACAAACACAGTTGATGCAATTAAAGCAAATAGTCACGAGTATTGTGTGACATGAAGTCCAGAGAGGTCCCAGGAGTGACATGGTTGGACGCATGGGAATGCTGAGGCCAAATATCTTGGACAGCTAACCAAGGAACTCTGACCAGAATGATTAAACAGCTTGTCACGGGTCATGAACCAGTCAGTCAGGACTCTTTACATTCAAATACTTGACTGAAATTACTTGATCCAATAGGCCAATCTTCTGCGAGACAGCACAACAGCGCTGTATAATCTTCCTAACTGCTCTGGGGTAAAGACAGACCGACAAGATTAAAAAGTATCTCGATGCATAAACTTGCTTGAGGAAAATTGCAAAAATCAAAGTAAAATTGGTCAAGTATTTTAGCCAATGACGCCGGGCTGATGGGCTGCTATGCTCTGCTGCGAGACTTCATGGCAGACTGTCAGGCAACCACAGGGTGTAAAGGGAAAACAGCATCAGCCAACTTAATGCTTGATTGAACCAACAGGCTCACAAATGTTCATCCAGACTTAAAACACAAATGTTCTCCAATAAAGAGCTGGAGGAGTGGGTTTGTACGTGCGTGAAGATTTGGAAGAAACAGTTAAGTGACTGATTCTTCATACAGTACACACTTGACCGGGTTCCATGTTAAAGTTGCAGTTAGTAATAATTTATTTAATTTGGTTGTTGAATTAGTGTCATGGCGGTTACCATATTTAAACTCATAGTGCCATGAGAGGGCTTGTAGTCCCAGCTTTAGTGGTTATTTATGTAATTGATGTGCAGAATGTACACTTAGAATAGATTTATATTTCATCCTGGTGTGTGTGATGTATCTTTGTTATGCAAATCGGGTTTGATGATCTTGTTTCCCATTCCAGCCTTAATTTGATCTTTTCTTCGCCACCCCTCTCCTCTGTCCATCCCCCAAGCCGTTAAGCCCTGTGAATTTGGATGCCATGGACCCTCACTGATATTTTCAGCCAGAATAAAGCTGCGCCCACATTCATGTCCCGCTGCACACCAGTGAGATTTATCCTCCAGTAATTGAGAGGGAAATGGCAGGGTCACCTCTCCCTGCAGTCACAGGACTGTAGCCAGCTTGTTAGCCTCGGTACCTCGCTGTGCAGGAGGAGAAAAATAAGGCTTCAGGTCTCAACTCAGGTTCTGCCTTTGTAACTTGATTTGCTGTGACCAATGGTTTCGCATCGGGTCACACTTCAGCTATGTTTATACTAAACCTGATATGCCCAATGCCATAACAAATCATTTGCTGCCAGCAAATATTTAAAAAGCAATTCAACAGCTGCAATTTTTATGTTACTGTTCAACAATATAGTTACACTCATTCCTTGCCAATTTTTCAATGTATAAAGAAATTGGGAATACATTTTGTTTCGAGAGAAGAGAGAATGACAGCACACTGTTGTTTACTTGCAACTGAAATATAATTTACACTAGATTAGATTTTCTTCCATTGAACAATGACTTAACCAACTGACTTTATTTTAAGGCTTTTAAAATGTAACATATTATCTTTTTAAACTTTCATAAGACTGACGGACGAGTATTATATCGAACTGTTAAAGGGCCCATGTCATGGCCATTTCTACTGATCATAATTCCATTGTTGAGGTCTACTAAAATAGATTTATATTGTGCAATTTTCCAAACTCACATTAGTTTCTCATACAGCATCTCTGTATAGTATGTGTATTCACTCTGTCCTAAACGGCTTGTTGGAGCTCCTGCCCCCCCCCCCCCCCCCTCCCTGTGAGCCCAATGTGCTCTGATTGGTCGGGACGTTGCGAGGCTCGTTGCGAGGCTTGTTGCTGCGATCTGCTGTGAGGAGCAGACAGGCTTCCGGGTCGGCGATGCAGCGAGAACAAGCGAAACTCATCCTGAGTTACAGGGTGTATTTTGAGGGTTTTTGACTCTGCAGACCGTTTACATGCATAAAAACCTTCATAACACACAAGGGGACGGGTAATAACCGGAAAAGCATGACATGGGCCCTTTAAGTACTGTCACAACACCATTGATGATTTTATATGAGGCAATCACTCTCTTATCAGCAGTACATGTTAGTTTAATATTATATGATTTCATACTGTTTCCTATCACATGTATGGAGAGGATACAGGGTGAGTGTGGAAGCCAGATGCCATTTCCTTCTGAGGGATCCCTCTCCACGGGGGTTCCCTCTCTTCCCAAGTTCACTTTGAAAATGTAGAGTAGCTGAGACTCCTCCCAGCAGTGGGATTGATTCCTTGCTCCCTGTTGATTTATCGGTGCCACACTGTTGATCCAGGAAGCCCAGGCATCCATTAACATGACATTTGCCACGGTGCTAAGACTGGATATAGCCAGCAGCAGTCGGAGCTTAACCCTTTTCATGTGCTATCACACATGAAACACAACAGACCGTCGTGGTGTAGTGTCATAACTAATGATTTTGCAATGTCTCCAAAAATACAGCTTTTCTGATAAGAGTTGAGAACATCCCTAACTGTAAACCTGTAGCTGTAACCTAGGTAACTGTTTAAACACGCTATACACGAGAAGGGAATAACTCCTCAGCTCATGAAATATATATTTTTTGTCTTTATGAATCATAGACAAAGTTAAAAAAATACAAATGGCAAATGCAGGTGTAGATAATATTTAGCGTTTTAAAGGCCCTTTCATTACAAAGTGTGTATTTTAAATAATTTGACCTCATTTCTTTTTTAATTTAAAGTGAGGATAATGATGAAAACATTTTTCAATTCAATAATTATAATTAAAGTAATTAATGTGAGAATTTTGCAAAAAATGTTGCATTCTTTAAAGTTTTTTATTGTTTTTCATTGTTCATTATATATTAAATCATTTATTTTAAGTCATACTTGTATGATGTATAATACAAGCCTGTAAATACAAAGTGTCTTTAAATATTTCAATGTTAATTTTGCTTATAAATGACTGAAATAAAAAAACGATTCAATGGAAATTCAAAATCTGTATGATCTTCTTCAAAGCATAAAGAGTGCTCTATTTGATTATGAAATATGTGATTACTGTCCAACATGATCCACCAAAAAAAGCCCTTAAAACTTCAGGACTTTTTAAAACGCTGATTAATAACAAGCAAGTCATGTTTCTTCGTATTGCCCATAGAGCTGCAGAGATCAATGAACTAATCAATTACTTACCAACTATAAAAGTGTTCAGCACCTACTTTGATAAACCATTCATTGGTTTGTGTAATTTTTAAAGAAAAGTTAGATTCCAGCTTCTTGGATGTTAATATTTATTGATTTATTTACTCGTGTGTGACAGATATCTATATGAATTTGAGTTGTAGAAACATTGATCTACATTTTCACCATTTTCTGACGGAAAGAAATAATGAAAAATGAAAATAATCACAAGTTGCAGCCCTAAATGCAGAGAATCAAACACATAACAGCTTAATGGACTTCACAGACTTAACACAGCTATGGTTTTAACCCAGCAATAGGTCTCCTAGAAAAAAATTAAATAAAACTGAAAGTCTGACAACATGGGATTAAATAAAAAGGGGGAAATGGAAACTTCAGGCCAGACTTCAGGATCGTGAAAGCCAAACAGAGGAAGTGGATGGTTACAGTGTCATTGTCTCAGTGAGCATAATTCATGTTTTCAACTAAATGCAATCAGGATTATACCAATACATTTATCATCATTAGAAAGACTACAAATACACACATGTTAAACAAGCTCATGCACACCAAACTTTTTGATAAATGAGATTGTCACACACCAAAAGCCTTTGTTGTGGGTAAACAGCATTTGTTTTGTCTAGTATCAGGCAGAGGCTCATCATTTGACATCTTCCTATCAGCCGAGGAAAACAAAATACCTTAAAGACGTGCAAATCCTGCATCAAAGAAAGGTAATAATTTCAGGAACCACAATTTCCAAGTGCTTTCTTTTTAAAGAACATTAAAAAAAAAACCGCTTACATTAAAATGGTCAACTTCAGTAAGTAAGTGTGATTCGAGATAAACTTGACAATATTCAAATGGTCTTGTTGGAAAGTAAGCTTTCATTATAATTATCCAAAAGCTGAATAATGAACTTCTTCTGTTTGCAGTCGTTCATCAGTGCCACGTTCAGAAATAAGATCTTTACATAAACTTGACCACAGATCACCGCCAGGTGACTTAAACACACATCAACGTTCTCCAGAAGTAATTAATGACTCTTTGGAGTGTTACATTGGTGCGTTAGAGAAGCAGTCCTTCTAAGCCACAATCACTGTATGCTTGTGTCCTGTGTGATTACAATCAATAGAGTTTGTTTCCACACCATTAGCCCCCAGTAAGAGCTTATTTCTCTTGAGGATTCAGACTTAAAGGCCCTGTGAAGTGCATTTTTTTGCGCCAAAATGAAATGGCAGTTTCATTCCTTACATATCATTGTGCCTGTTCATGGCTAAAATAATTTTTCATAATTAATGAATGAATGAATTATTAATTGTGCCGTCTGAGCCTAACGGAAGTTGCAGACGATAGTGGCTGTGACGTCACAAGATGTACCCAGTTGTGATTGTAAACATGGTGGAGAAATGATTGATTTGGACAGCTTTTCGGACAGGATAGATGAGGAAAGTGATCAATCTGGTGCACTTTGAGGGCAACATTAAGAGATTTATGGATACAGCTCTCAACACTCATATGAAACATATATTTCAATAATCAAAAAACATTGGAAGGATTTCTTAACCTATTTTATACAACTAATATTACATAGATGGAAATATTTGTTTACATAGATGACCAAACCCACTGAGATAACTTAGGCTACAGTTTACCTCCCTGAGCTGACGTTATCTCTCTCAGTCCCACAGGAGAGGACTCTCCCTCTCCTTATTGTGGAAACAGCTAATCTCCGTTAGCTCCGAGCTAGCACCAGATGCTAACGACAACCCTGTAACTCTCTCAGTCTCTCTTTCTCTCTCTCTCGAATCGACCAGTGGCCTTTATTTATCATGATCAATGAACGAATCTACGAAA